AAATACCTTTTAAGTTAATTTGTGTTTCTCCTATTGATACTTAGAGTAAATATTTTCCCAGAATTGCTCGGCAATACTCTAATAAATGATTACTGGGTTGAATTTCTTTTGTTTTTCTTTTCTTTGAAGTCACATATTAATTTTTACCCAGCTTAATTATCCATATTATTCACTACACAAATTTTGTCACTTGTCAAAAGTCAGATTTAGTCCTGGAGGATAAATATATTTGAAAGAGTCTTCAGAAATTTGCCACTTGCTGGTTATTCAAAGTCAGCTTGTTTTCTATCCATTACGCTATTAAGAAGTGAAATGCACAATTATGACCTCCAGCCATCGCTGAACTGAGTTATGGTTGGTGTTCTGGTTGTTGCTGTATAACAAACATGGTATTTAGTGATGTGAAACAACCGTTTGATAATGCTCATGGATTCTGTGGTCAGGAATTCAGTATGGGCACAGGAGGAAGGCTTTAGCTCTGTTTCACAGTGTGTGGGACCTTGGCTGGGAAGACTCGAAGGCTGGTGGTAACTTAATGGTTTGATTCATTTGAAGATTTATTACAGCCGTGGGCAAACTAAGGCCCGGGGGCCGGATCCGACCCGTTTGAAATGAATAAAACTATTGAAAAAAAAGACCGTACCCTTTTATGTAATGATGTTTACTTTGAATTTATATTAGTTCACACAAACACTCCATCCATGCTTTTGTTCTGGCCCTCCGGTCCAGTTTAAGAACCCATTGTGGCCCTCGAATCAAAAAGTTTGCCCACCCCTGATTTATTCAGTCCTATGTCTGGCAGTTGCTGCTGGCTTTTGCCTGGGACTTCAACTTGGGCTTTCAAATGAAATACCTATAGTGGCCTTTTCATGTGGTTGCTTGGACTTTCCTCACAACTATCGTGGCTGGGTTTCAGAAGTAAGCATCCAGGAGAGCAAGTCACAGTACATGACATTTTTGTGACGTAGCTTTAGAAGTCACATAACGCCACTTCCATGTTGTTTACAAGCCCACCCAGGCTCATCAGAAAGGAATATAGAGCCCATCTCTCCATGGGAAGAAGTGTCAAAATCACGTTTTAAGAAGAGCATGTGTGTTGGGAGACATGTTCTGGCCTTTGGAAAGTAGAGTATGCCAAGTTACGACAGTAAATTATGTTTACCTCTTAGTAAACCAGTGTAAAGGAGTTTTTAAAGCATTTTCTAATAAGGGTGAAACAAGATTTTTAAATTTAATTTTCTCAAGAGATCAACCAAAGGACTTGTATGCATACATATAAGCATAATCAATGCACACAGTAGGAGGGTGAGGGCATGTGCTGCGGGTGGGAGTGGCCGGGGAGAGGTCAATGGGGGGAAAAGGAGGCGTATTTAAACAATAAACAATAAATTGTTTAAACTTTAAACAATAAAGAATTTAAATTAAAAAAAATTGAGTTCCCTCAAGTAAGATTTAATGTAAAACCCTATTCCATAATAATTTTATGCATTAAGATTTTATTATACTTTTAAAATATCCTTTTGTCATATTTCCTATTAACACCTTTTATCACTATTTTTATTTTTCAGATAAAACCATGAAATGTAAAGTGGCTTCCTTGCCTGGTTCACCTAAAAATATATCTGAAAAGAAACAACAGTGCATCTCTTTAAAAGATGAAAATAAGGTTGTATTTTTTTTTTAAATATATTTTATTGATTTTTTACAGAGAGGAAGGGAGAGAGATAGAGAGCCAGAAACATCGATGAGAGAGAAACATCGATCAGCCGCCTCCTGCACATCCCCCACTGGGGAAGTGCCCGCAACCCAGGCACATGCCCCTGACCGGAATCGAACCCGGGAGCCTTCAGTCCGCAGGCCGATGCTCTCTCTACTGAGCCAAACCGGTCCCGGCAATAAGGTTGTATTTTTAAATGTTCATTAAATATAAATTTCACATAATGTTAATTTTAGAATATTCTTTAAAATCTAGGAACCAAAAATGTTTTCTGTTAAAAAATCTTTGGCTATGATAATTTCATTCATGAAGAATTATAGTTTGCATGTTTGCTCTATTTCAAAAGAACAAAAACTCCAGCCAGCTCTCACTTTGTTCTTGGCCTAGTGGCCTCTCTACAAAATGGGGTATTTATCCTCATTTAAAAAAAAATATTTTTTTTTTCACAGAAGAAGGGAGAGGGAGAGAGAGATAGAAACATCAGTGATGAGAGAGACTCATTGATCACCCTCCTGCACAGCCCACACTGGGAAATCAAGCCTGCAGCCTGGGCATGTGCCCTTACTGGGAATCAATCTGTGATTTCCTGGTTCAAAGGTTGATGCTCAACCACTGAGCAACACTAGCTGGGCTATCCTCATTTTAACAACCCTGTGAAAATCTGGGATTATGGGATACTATAATAGTTAAATTCAAGACTAATCTGTCCTAGTCCCTTTGGCAATATAAGTGAAAGTTATTACAGGACATTTTAAATACTGAAATGTCAGCTCCTGCTATGTGGATATTTCAATATAGTGGTTATAGCAATGATATAATCAGTTTTTTGTCTCTCTATATCTGTGTTGCCTGAAAATTATCTAGGATGGTTGTTTATGTATGAGAATTATTCCCATGGAATTTTCAGTGCATGGGATGATCCCCACCAACTGAGCCACACTGGCCAGGGCCTCATGGAATTTTGATTCATCAAGAATATATATTTGGTTAGCATATATATACTCTTTCTGAAAATAATGTGTTTGGTTTTTTTTCTTAACAGTGTGTTGAATCTTCAGTGTATTGGCCAACAAAAAGAGGCATAACCATATATGCTGATCCAGATATTCCAGCCGACAGGTATGATTTGAAAATTTAGTATAATTAACTAGAGACTTAAGTATAATATTGTCTTATGTAGTGTATGAGATGGATGATAAGAAAGTATTCATTTTCAAAAAAAGACTGGCCTTGGAAATTTTGGTTAAACATATTAATTTAAAAGAAAAATGTTATGATAACTGGTTAGCAGCACAGTTGACCAAAAACTGGTAATGGATCTAGAGTCTCCTGTTACCTTGTCAGATAAAAGTTGTTTCCATAAAGTAGATTCAGTGAAGTTTCCTTAATGTAAAGGATGGACAAATGTGGGCCAGATGGCAATACTGGTTGGTGGAAAGCAAAGGATGGTTTGTTATCTTCTTGAAGATGAGTATCAAAGACTTTTGAATATAACCCTATCCTCACTCACATACGTCAGTGATAATAATGAAGTCATAGAAAGGATGTAATGTACCACTTCATGGATAGTGTAAGACCTTAAAATAGTATGCTTCTATTTCTCGCCTCCTGGACTTTATGCAATGTTGTTATACACTGTTATGCCCAGATTTCAAGATCCCCCAAGACAGACCACTAGGGAGCCGAGTCCGATGCAAAAGCATAGAGTCATTTATTCAAGCCCGGGACTTGGTCTCACCCCTGCCTCCATTACTGGATGCAAGAGAGAGCCCCGAATCCCAAGGGAACAAAGAATTTATAGGGGTTGGGGTCGGGGGTGGGGGCAGACTCTGACCACTGATTTGGCCGATTCCAGTTGGTTGAGTGAGGGCCGGGGGCTAGTGACGCAAGGGCAGGGTGCAGCTAGGGTCTGGTTACACAAAGACAGGGGGGGGGTTAGCATATTCTTGGCCTTGGGCTAGTTTCCCCCGCTTTCCCATTGGCTGAGATAAGGGCAGGCTGAGTAACTGATACATTCTGTGGCTTTCCTGGGAGAGGAGTGAGAGACACAGCTATCAGTTCCGTTCTGTCGCTTCAACACTTTATACGTCTGTTATAAATGCTAGACTCTATAGCAGTGATGGCGAACCTTTTGAGCTCGGCGTGTCAGCATTTTGAAAAACCCTAACTTAACTCTGGTGCCGTGTCACATATAGAAATTTTTTGATTTTTGCAACCATAGTAAAACAAAGACTTATATTTTTGATATTTATTTTATATATTTAAATGCCATTTAACAAAGAAAAATCAACCAAAAAAATGAGTTCGCGTGTCACCTCTGACACGCGTGTCAGAGGTTCGCCATCACTGCTCTATAGTCATTTGTATTGAAAGTATCTTTCAGAGAGATTTAAATAAGTAATAAGAAAATAATCTTAAATATTTACCTAAGTAGTTACCATTAATGATTTTGACTTTTTGTGGAGATCCAGATTTCTATCTGATATCATTTTCTCTCTACCTGAAGGACTTTCTTTACTATTTATTATATTGTGGGTCTGCTGGTGATGAAATTTTTTATCTTTTGTATGTCAGAAAAATTATTTTGGCTTCTTTTTTTAATAAATATATTTGGTAGGTATAGAATTCTAGGTTGACAATCCTTTTCCCCCTATTTTTTTAAAAGATGTTGCCCTACATTCTGGTTCCTCACATTGTTCCCAATGCAAAGTATATTGTGATCCTTTTCCTCTGACTGCTTTTAAAATTTTCTCCTTATTACTGGTTTGAGCAATTAAAAAAAAATATATATCCTGTAAAAAAAATATATCCTATATAATAAAAGGCTAATATGCAGATTGACTGAATGGTGGAACAACCGGTTGCTGTGATGCACACTGACCCCCAGGGGCAGACACTCAGTGCAGGAGATGCCCCCTGGTGGTCAGTGCACTCCCGTAGGGGTGCACCGCTCAGCCAGAAGCCAGGCTCATGGCTGACGAGTGCAGTAGCAGTGGTGGAACCTCTCCTGCCTCTGTGACAGCACTAAGGATGTCCAACTGCTGGCTTAAGCCCATTCCCTGCCATCAGTTGGACATCCCCCAAGGGGTCCTGGACTGTGAGAGGGCACAGGTCAGCCTGAGGGACAACCCAAGTGCACAAATTTTGTGCACCAGGCCTCTAGTATATATCTTTTTTAATTGATTTCAGAGAGGAAAAGAGAAGGAGAGAGAAATAGAAACATCAATGATGAAAGAGAATCATTGATCAGCTGCCTCCTACATGCCCCACACTGGGGATCGAGCCCACAACCTGGGCATGTGCCCTGACCGGGAATCAAGTCATGACCTCCTGGTTCCTAGGTCGATGCTCAACCACTGAGCCTCACAGGGTGGGCTGGTTTAAGTAGTTTAATTATTATATGCCTTGGTGTTTTTTCTATCATGTTTTTTGTGCTTGGTGTTCTTTATTTGTACATTTGTACCTTTTATCAAATTTAGGGAGTATTCAGCAGCTGTTCTATAAATATTTTTTTCTGCACCCATCTCTTTCTCCTCTCTTTTTGAGACTGATGAGACAAATATTGATATTGTCCAAAAGGCCCCTGAGGCTCTGTTCATTTTTTCTAAAATTTTTTGGTTGCTTAATAATTCTTCTAATTAATAATTCTTAATTGACTTTTTTTGTCATCTTCATTCTGCTATTGAGTCTACCCATGACATTTTTATTTTATGTTTTTTTTAGTTCTAAAATTTTCTCTTTTTTTAATAGTTTGTATTTATTTGCTGAGAACTTTTATTGTCCCATTCAAGAGTGCTCACCTTTCTTTTTATAACCACTGCTTCATAATTTCCACTTCTGCGCATTGAGAGGTTGGCCCCTGTTGATTATCTTTTCCCAGGACAAATGACCTGATTTTCCTGGTTCTTTGCATATTGAGTAATTTTTTATTATATTCTGGAATTTTGAATATTATGATGTGAGGCTCTGGTTTCTGTTAAATCCTCTGTAGAATATTAATTTTGCTGTTGTTCTTGTTCATTTGTTTTAGCGGGAAGCCAACCACTCCCTTAGGCTCAAACCTCAATTCTCTCTTTCTTTCTGTGGGTGGTGATTGCAATGTTGGCTCAATCTCCAAGTCTTTGGTTTGCTGCTTTGGGTCTGTTCTGAATATGCTCAACTTGGAGTGAGCTTGGGATGTGTTTTGGGTCATTAGCAACAATAGGGGATCCCCTCTCCCCTCTGGCTTTCTTTCTTTTTCCAGGATTTTTCTCACGTTCACTTTTTCCTTGTTGCTCCCTCTCCCTGTTCCTCTGACCAGGTAGATGATTTCTCTTGGAGAAACTGCCGGGTGGTTCTGTGTGATTGGGACCGCTTGTGGAGCAAAGCAGCAATAGAAACAAGAGAGAAAATAATGGAGCTTGTCCTCACACAGTCTTTAGACCTGTTTCCCAGCTCCTGTAGAGCAGCGGTTCTCAACCTGTGGGTTGCGACCCCTTTGGGGGTCCAACGACCCTTCACAGGGGTCGCCTAAGACCATCGGAAAACACATATATAATTACATGTGGTTTTTGTGATTAATCACTATGCTTTAATTATGTTCAATTTGTAACAATGAAAATACATCCTGCATATCAGATGTTTACATTACGATTCATAACAGTAGCAGAATTACAGTTGTTAGGTAGCAATGAACATAATTTTATGGTTGGGGGTCACCACCACATGAGGAGCTGTATTAAAGGGTCGCGGCATGAGGAAGGTTGAGAACCACTGCTCTAGAGCGAGGGGGAGGTTTTCTCTCAGGGTTCCGGTGACCACACCGCTGTTGCCATCGCATCATGCAGCTCGATGGATCAGCGCTGGTCTTGGGCGGGCCAAGGAGAGAAAAAGAGGGAAAGTCAGTTGGGATTCCCAGCTTCTTCTTGAAGCTCCTCGTCCCCATTCTTTGGCTTGAGGTTTCTCTGGAGACTTTTATATCTCTATCCTCTACACCGTCCCAGGTCATCCTCGGTTTACCACCAAGCTATAGTTGAAGGTAAATGTAGGAAACTCTCCATGATTGTGGTTGTTTTTCACATTTTGACATCTCACCCCTATCGTTTTGTACTTTGTCCAGAGTTCCTAGTGGTGGTCAGTAGGAGGGGGGCTGTGGTGGGCTTACTCCCTCTTGGCAGGCACCAGAACTGTCAAATGGTATTTATACTTGAGGGGCTCACCTCCAGTTCCCATATAAATTTACCTTCATAGACCAACTTGTTCCTCAGTGGTACTTTTTAAATTTTCTCCCAGGAAGTAAAGATATTTTCAGGATTGGGTTTATAAATTTTAATAAAATTTTTTTTTATTTCTAGTGCTTTACGTCAGAAGTCAAATGAGAAACCACTCAGATTGGCTGAGAAGAAAGAATACAATGAGAAGAATGGCTGTGTAAAGTATGAATTTTTTTCTTGGCCTAAATTTTTTATTGAAGTAATTATGATAAAATTATAAGCAGGAAGCATTTACATATGATTTTATTATAAATTTCAAATCTTTGTTCCCATTTAAAAATATACATACAATGGCTTCTTTAGGCTTTGAAGTTAATTTTTTCTTTTACATAAGGTATATTTTTCTGTTTAAAGTTCTCTTCCACTATAAATATACATTTCCTATCTCACCTTCTTGATTTTCTTTGGTGAAGTGAACAAAATAAATTAGATGTAGTTGATCTTTTGGGGCTGTTGATTTTATAGAGGTTGGTGTTTGCTTTCTTTCCAGTTTTGTTATGTTAAATAGGTTTATCACTGGCTGGAGAAACTGTTTAATTATTTGCAGTGTGGAACTGGGGATCTTTTTTTCTTTGTCCTGCCAGATTCACAAAGTACTTACTTACAAGTTGTTCACAGTAAAGTAATAACTTCATTTTACACTTGTTTAACGCACAAAATATTTTCATACTTTCTTTTAAGACTTCTTACGGCACCAGCCTAAAAACACTCTCACACTGCCGAAACCGGTTTGGCTCAGTGGATAGAGCATCGGCCTCCGGACTGAAAGGTCCCAGGTTCGATTCCGGTCAAGGGCATGTACCTGGGTTGCGGGCACATCCCCAGTGGGAAATGTGCGGGAGGCAGCTGATCGATGTTTCTCTCTCATTGATGTTTCTAGCTCTCTATCTCTCTCCCTTCCTCTCTGTAAAAAAATCAATAAAATATATTTAAAAAACAACAACAAAACACTCTCACAGCCCTGGCCAGTGTGGCTTAGTTGGTTGGCGAGTATCCTGTACACCTAAAGATCACAGATTTGATTCCCAGTCAGGGCACATTCCCAGGTTGTGGGTTCGATCCCCGGTCAGGATCCATGTGGGAGGCAAGAACGGTTTGGAAAATGAATTGCCATAATGTTTTTCAGAGATCAATGGAAAAAATAAAATACAGCCTCTCTTACATTTCAAGTACTGCAGCTGCTCTGAAGCTACCAGAGTGACAAAGTTTAAGACAGTTGAGAAATGGGTACAGGTCATGCTGTTCGCTAATGAGCTTGAGAGGACTGGGGCGAGGTGTTGACTGTGGAAGTCCTCCAGGCTCCCAGCTTCCCAGAGGCCACCTGTGGGGTGTGCGTCCTCATCCAGCAGAAGCTACGCAGGGTGTTTCCAGGCCAGGAGCTCCGAGGCAGCCGTGGAGCCCGCAGATCTGGAGCGACTCCTGGATTGACATCCGCCTCCCTAACACCTGAAAGCTGTGGTGTCCCAGTGGGCGCTTTCCGTGGAACAAAAGACCTCGCATTGCCCTGCATACTCATTTCTTTCTTTTGTTGTGCTGCTTAGCAAAGGAGCTCTGAGACGGCTCCATCGCCTGGTACTTTTGTATCAGGAGGTTGTGTCTGACCTCCTGTTTGGCTGAGTGTCCTTTGCTTAGAACCCACTGATTGCACTTCATCCGTCCACTGTGGGTTCCAGGGACTTGGAGGTGTTCAGGATTCAACAGCAAAGAAGGAAGGAGACGGTGGATAGTTTAGACTGTGATGACCTGGGGATCATGCAGCCTTTCTCCTGGTTCACAGCAGGTGGCCTGGGATTGGCAGTTCTGTGTCCACAGCCTGAGGCCCAGGGTGGGGCTGCGGGGAGCCTGGGACGGCCTTGACCACAGTGGCCTTTGTACCACAGTGAACAGGCAAAGCAGAACAAGTTTACCTCTGCCCAAGAAGAATTAAAATAGTAACTCAAGAAAAAGACACAATTTTTTTCCCTTCAAATTGTCTTTTTAACTATTTTACAGATTATTGCAGTTTTTAAATCCTGATCCTTTGAGAGCTGATGGAATCTCTGATCTGCATCAGGTATTACAACTCTAAAAAAAAGTGAAAAAAGAAAGAAAACTACTTTTAAAATCCCTCTCCTTCCTCCCTCTAAACTTGAGATTAGAAGAGAAGCCCCTTCAGTTGGAGACTTTATCTGAAGACATCCTTTTAGGAATTGTCTAGTGAGTCAGTGCTTTAGAGAAATAGTTCTTCTTAGGAGTGGGGATACTAGATCTTCCTTTCATTTTGGTAGTTTTGGTAAGCATATACACCTAGGTTTTTACATTGGAATCAAACTCTTGTCTTTTCTCATGTCCATGAAGTTCTTGGCGTCCCGTGCTGACAGCGCAGGCAGACTGACGTGTGTGTGTTTAGTTGCAGAAGCTGAAGGCGGGCGCACAGCAGGCCTCTGCAGTGCTCCGGAACAGGATTGAGCCCTGCTTGTCCATCGACACGGCGCCGCTTTCGGCAGACCTGAAAAAGGTAAAAGTGCTCCTGAAACCAAACTCGAGGAGGAGTACTGACCTGCCCGAAGGTGGAAGGATTTTTAATAAAAGCTTCTACTGAACTTGCATTTGTATAATTTCTTTGCTTTTGAAATTCTCTTATAAGCCTCTGTTACTAATTTCTTATTTATTCTTAAGTCCAGGCTAACTTCTTACAAGTGACTAATTCTTTTATGGAGAAGCCATGTGTAACTGTAAGTGCTTTTCTGAAATAAGTTCTCAAAAGTGCCTGTGGAAAGGACTTGGAAGAAATGAGTTGCCAGGACGGTTATGATGTACGTCTTGGCAAAATTGCTTTATAGACCTTTGTTTTACGTAGTAAATTGATCATACATGTTTACTTCCTTTTTTGATTAAAAAAAAAGTTTTAAAATATTTTTTTAAAGAATAAAATCCCAAGGGCGACTAGAACGAGAGCAAAGTCTTTAGTGGACAAGAGCTTTCCACAGGCTCCGGGCTGCAGAGTGTGGCCGACACCCCGAGGGAGGAGTGAAGTGGGTGGGGGTCGTGAGCTTCCCCACCCTGTTCCTAAACACCCAGAGCCAGTTGCTCAGGAAGGAGAAGGAAGGAACTGAATGGCCCTAGAGAGTGACCTTTAGATGGTGCTGTTTGGGATTCTCCCACTAAAAACATCCGCTTGCTGCCCCTGTTCCGCGGTGATGGGGCTCGCACATGGCACTGAGCTTTGCTCCGCCCTCAGGTGAGCGTCAGGGATGGTTAGGTGTTTGAGGAAAGCCCTCACCCAAGGGAAAAAAGTACGACCCAAGCAAATGGATGTAAATAAACCGTGTAGAGAATAGAAGAAAACATTAGAAAATAAATATCCTTAGAAATAAGGTATATATTGTATGTATTTGACAATAACAGGGCACTATAGAAAAGGAACAGAGAATAAAAAATAGGTTATTAGGCCGAAACCGGTTTGGCTCAATGGATAGAGCATCGGCCTGGGGACTGAAGGGTCCCAGGTTCGATTCCGGTCGGGGGCATGTACCTGGGTTGTGGGCACATCCCCACTAGGGGATGTGCAGGAGGCACCTGGTCCATGTTTCTCTCCCGTCGATGTTTCTAACTCTCTATCTCTCTCCCTTCCTCTCTGTGGAAAATCAATAAAATATATTTTTTTAAAAAATAGGTTATTAGAAATTCATACTGTTGTAGAAATAAAAGTCAATAGTTGATTTGAGAGATACAAGCTAATAATCAGAAAGTAGAACAAAAGATTAAGAGATGGAAATAGGGAGGAAAAGAGAAATTGAGTGTCAACTTGAGGTCCAATATCTGAAATGGAATTTCCAGAAAGAAAGGGGGGAAGAGGGCAGACAATTCTAACAGTAACACATGAGTAATTTCTAGACTCAATGGCTATGACTTCCTGAGTTAAGGGAGTTTACCTACCACAGGCCCAGCACAACGGAGAAACAAGATAGTAGATGTTGTTGCGAAGCATCTAAACTGGAGGGATTCACAGACGGTGAAGGATTCCAGGAGGAGAATCTGGTCCCACACGCAAGATAGGAATCGGAATGGCTGCAGACTTCACGTAACAGCAGAGGAGCACTGACTCCAAAGTTCTAATAAGTTATTTCTAACCTAGAGGTCTATCAACGAAGTGTGAGGGGGAATGAAGACATTTTCAGATGTGCAGAGCCTCACTGCACCCTTTGTCAAGAAGCAACTGAAATATGTTCACCAACACAAGAAAGTAAAGTAGACAGCGTGGGTTGCAGACAAGAGGGGGATGGTGCAGGGAGACCCCAGGATGGCAGCTGTGCACAAGGTGTCATCAGAGCAGAGTCAGCCCTGATTTCAGTGGGCTCAGGGCCTGGGAGCAGGACTTCACGGATAACTGATGAGATCAGCCTTTTGGAAAACAGTGTCAATGTGGCTGGAGAACTCGGGACATTGGGGAGGTTTTAGTAACAGTCATAGAGAAAATAAGCAAATAAAGGCATGTTTTTAAAAAATTGACAAGTGAAGTTGATGCACCGGCAGATTTAGACAAGAAGCCATATCCTTGTGCTGGAGAGCATTAAGCACCTGGGTGGTCAGTTGGATCCTTTAATTTAGAGCCTAGGAAAGCAAGAATCTTCTAGCAGGACTTTGGTGCTAGAAAAGATTCAGTGGAAAATGCCAGAATGAGCAACATATACATGTTGTTGGGGTAAATGAGCAATGAGATGGATTTTCATTAGTTTATTGTGGTTTTTGGTTATTGATGTTTTGTAGGCTCTTCAAAGAAATAAGTTTCTGGGACCTAGCCACACCGAATCTTACTCCTGGCCTCCCATAGCGCGTGGCTGTGACGTGGTTGTCATTTCTCAGTGTGGAAATGACCCTCTGTTGTACCTTCCACCAGTGCTTACGCTTTTGCAAACAGGGGGCTGCTACAAGTCATTACCAAGTAGAAACGGAGTAAGTTGACAATTTTGTTTCACAACAAAATGGGTTAAGTATTTCTTTTAAAATTTACACCTAACTTTAGTAAAATTTAGGTTACATTATTCATTTGGTGTTCAAACTGTCAGGACAGAAACTGTCCCATGAGAAACTTTTATCTGATCACAGTCATCTCACACTGTTGTCACCTTTGACCTCCCAGTTGTGGGCGATCTGCTGAGTCAAGAGAGTCCAGCTTTTAGAGACAAATAGATAGTTTATAAAAAGTATTTCACCGATTGTCTAGTTGGCCCGGCTACCCTATGAGAGGGTCAGGCCATGTGTTCTTTTCACCAGTATTACAGATGAGAAAATTAAATTAATGGGAAGTTACTGGTTTAAATTCTTAACCGCTGGCAAGTGTGACAAGACGTGAGCTTAGAATGTAGGTTTTCTGTCATCGTCTCATATTCTTTCAAATATTTTCATAGCACCCCCACACTTTTATAAATCTACTTTGTTTTTCCCATGTGTCAGAATCTGAAGATAGCTGAGAAAAATGATGGCGAGGAGAGAAATGGGGTGTGAGGATCAGATATTTGATAGTGGGGTAGTGACATCTGCTTTGCTGGGTGTGGCCTTTGTCTCAGATCCTATCCCAAAGGACACCCTGCAAATTGTTCTGCCCCTCATTACAAGGTGAGAAATAGCAGTACGAAAAGACACTTGGGATTGCGTTTTAGAAAAGATGACAGTTTATTTTTCAAATTATGCTAGGTAGTGTAATGATTTTCCTTTGGAAATCTGCATTGGGTAAGTTATTATGTATTGATTTAATAAAACTAAATGGATACATTTAAATCCATCAGTCAGTCAGTAGCTGACCGCATTGATGAGATGCAGCTTGTGTGAAGATAGAACCCTGGCTGGGCCAGGAAGGGGTGTCCAGGTGTTGTCTCTTGTGTCCACTCTGCTGCCTCTGCATGTCCATGGTCAGCCTGCTTTTAGGCTGACACCTGGAAGCTGGTGCTCCCGGGATCTGTGTGAAGGAAAGCCGTCTCCTCTTGTCTTCAGTTTGGTGCGGGCAGGTGTGCAGGAAGGTGTTCGCAGGCTGTGCGCCTTCGGGGGATATCTGTGGCAGAGTGGAGGGCAGGGTTCAGATGGTGCTACAGGAAACTCAGTCACCTAAGGAAGAGATGTTAACCTTTTTAAAGGCCCCTTTCAGGAAGCAGTTAGTTCACCCTTATGCTGAGGAGCAGGAGCTGTAGAGCCAGATTGCTTGGCTTCAGATCATGTTGCTACCATGTGTCAGCTGTGCAGCCTTGGGCAACTGACTTCCCCTCTCTGTGCCACAGACTCTGCCTCTGTGAAATGACGTGGCGATAGGTTCTGTCCTGTAGGAGTGTTTTAAGGACTAAGGGGATTAATACTTGTAAAGTGCTTAGTTTAAGCCCTAGCAAAGTCTGAGCCAATGTGTCTCAATCCTTTTTGATGAAATTATAGTTTAACTCTTCTGACCTATGTGGTGGTGATAAAAATGTATACAGTGCTTACTCTGGACAAAGAGCCTACATGCTTCACAGGTAATGTGTCTGATTCCTAACTTTTGTCCAAAATGATGTGGATTTGTTTGTCTTTGCAGCCTCTGGCAGTCATCCTGTGTCCGGGGTGGAAAAAGGCCCAATTTATTTTTGAGTTATTGGGAGACTATGGCGTGTCCTCCAAGCCTCTTCATCCTATGTTGTTAACAATTGGACTCCACAAAGATGAAGCCAAAAATATGAAGCTTCCAAGGGGGTGTAAGCATCCTCCCCAGCTGTTTGGTTTTCCCCGCGGAACCCAGTGGAGCCCCACCCAGCAGGCCGGGAGCTGCGGGCGTCAGGGAGCTGAGAGATGCAGCTGATGGTCACTAGCTCAGACCGCCCCTGTCAGTTCCGATGGTCTAGATGATGAAGGTTTATCTCGGCTTATCTCTGTGAGAAAAAGAGAAAACTGTGATTTCATTCATTTATGACCTACCCGCTGGCGCCTCCTGTTGGTTAGATGTTGACTAAACGCTCCCTGTCTTTTAGTTGTGCAGAACGTGATGGGAGCCCCGGGAGTTAATCCGATAATGATCGGGGTTAGCTGGGTAGGTAAACTTCTTGCCTCACCCGCCTGAGTAAGGAAAACAGCTTTTTGTTTTGTTAGAAGGCATCTCTAGAAAGTATGTGGAATCTTAGGAAAGGAAATGTTAGAAAAACCTGTGGAAAATCTAAAATGTTAATTTTTTTTTCTTTTAAAATATAGGTGATATAATGGTTACAACACCACATAGCCTCCTGAGACTTCTCAGATATCAAAGCTTGTTATTTCTTAGACTCTGTCACCTCATTTTGGATGAGGTGGAAGTATTATTCTTTGAAGCTAATGAACAAGTAAGTAAGGCATCCATTTAGATATCATTACTACTCAAATATATAAAATTAAAGTGTTCATTGTTTTTAGGGTTCAAGAAGAGTGTCTATTTGTGGTAGAAGCTGGTTAATTTAAAATTTTTTCTCTTTAATTTCTATGATTAAGAAGAGAGAATTTTGTTTCTGAAATTTTTCTTACCAGTGTTCTATTTGAAAAGCAAGACTATGGAGGTTTTCGAAATTATTTAAAATTTTTCTGATTATAAAAGCAATTTTTATATTAGAAATTTGGGAAATAGAGGAGAGCACTTGAAAACATCCATAATCTTACACTCAGGAAATCACTATTACTATTCTGGGGTAGTTCTTTCTTTTTTGTAATTCCTTGTCATAGGAATTAATAATATCAGTACCTTTCTGTGGTCGTTTATAAGTTGCATTTTTTAGTAAATGGCATTGTATTGTTACTATTCTACAGTGTGATTGTTACTTGCCATACGATATTGAATTCTATGGACATAACATAATTTATTTTATAATTATCTTATTTTTAGATATTTAACATTGTGTGTGTATGTGTGTGTGTGTGTGGCTTCAGAACGTAATACATCTTTTTAGCACATTTCCCATAGGGTAAATTCCTACAAAGGGGATTAGATCAGCTGCCTCCTGCACATCCCCCACTGGGGAAGTGTGCGCAACCCATGTACATGCCCTTGACCGGAATCGAACCCGGGACCTTTCAGTCCGCAAGCCGACGCTCTATCCACTGAGCCAAACCGGCCCCGGCAAGACTGAATTCTTATAAGACATTTGTTGGAAGCAGTGTAACATGATGACCAAGAGCAGTCATTTGGGAGCAGTGATGGCCTCAGGTTCAAGTCCAAGCTTTAGATACTGACTCTGTCGGTCTGCGCAGGGTTTCTGAATGCCTCTAGAATCTCAATTCTTATTTGCAAAACTAATATCCAGAAGACTGCCTTGTACAGTTGCCGTTCTGGAAGCAATTTACACTCCCGTAGGCAACGTGCCGCCACGCTGCCCTCCCTGCACCCCTGGCAGTGGGAGGCCTCAGTCCAGCTTTCTTTTCTAGTCTGATTTGTAACATGGCTTCTGATTAGTTTAATCTGTATTTCCTTATTTACTTGTTAAGTTGAGCATGAATTCATACTGGTCATTTGTACTTATTCTTCTGTGAATTGCTTGTTTATTATTTTCTGTTGGTGGGATTGTCTTTTTTAATCAGTTTGTAGAAGTCTTTGTATAAGGATGTTAATCCTTTGGTACATATGTTACACATATTTACCTGGATGTTAATGTTTTAATTTTGTTTGCACCTAGCATTTTTTCCTTTTTTGTTACTTTTATGTTTGTAAAGGCCTTCTCCACTCTGAAAACAGAAAATATACAATCCTTTACCTTTTAAGTTTTGTCAAACTAATCTCTTTTGAAATAAAAAATTATACTAATTTTTTAGATGTTTGCTATATTAGATAACTTTAAAAAAAATATTGAAGTTGAAGAAAGGGAATCTGCACCACATCAAATTGTTGCAGTTGGAGTTCATTGGAACAGACATATACAGCATTTAATCAAAGAGTTCATGAATGACCCCTACATCGTGATCACTGCCATGGAAGAGGCTGCTCTCTACGGCGGTGTCCAACAGGTAATGAGTCATGGGGGCGTGGTGGGGTGCTAATGAATGTGTCATGACTTAATATTAAAAGACTAGAGTCCCGGTGCACGAAATTCGCGCACAGGTAGGGTTCCTAGGCCTGGCTGGCAATCAGGACAGATCAGAGCCTTCATTCCCCTGGCTGCCAGCCAGAGCCTTTCTTTGTTCCACCCCGCCCCCTGGTGGTCAGTGCACGCCATAGCGAGCTTTTGAACTCCCGGTCGGTCAAACTCCTGAGGGGACAATTTGCATATTAGCCTTTTATTATATAGGATTATAGCTTTAATGCCATCAGCAAATCTGTAATTGGGAAGTTAAATTTATATGGGTTTCCTACACATCCTTTTGTATTAAAATCATAACTTGCCTAAGTAAAGTA